ATCATGCCAGTTATTTTTTTAAAGGGCCAAATTTTCACCTGGAGCATTGTTTGAACTAATTTCAATATCAGTGTTTTAACGCTCAGGGCCATTATACTGTGAAATTCAGAATGCAGTATTCTGCTACTAAAATTGATCTGTATTGAAGGTAGCCTGTACTAAATAAATACAACTTATTCACAGTTTAGCTTTAATTGATCAGAAAAGTTTGTAGGTTGTGTTTGTCAGTTTCTGATTGAAATTCCAAAGCATCCAGAATTTTAGGATTGTTTTGAATCTGTAATGAGACGTAATATTTGTTTGTGGGGTCAAGTAATGTTTTTATTATGTTGAAATATCCTGCCTAAATAACTTTTTTGTCCTCAGTATATCACCCAATAACTAAAAAAGTGTATTCTTCTAGTTAGCAGGATATAACTTTACATTAGAGATAATAATTACATAAAATTTTTTTTATTGAAGAATTGTACAGATTCAGATTTCATGGATCTCTGATAAGCTACAGTTGCTCATATCTCGAAAAGGGAAAATATAACACAATAAGACCAGGAAATACTTCTTAATCTCTGACTAAAATTTCTTTATCTACAGAGAATTTGACATTTTATGCAAAGCTATGTTTTTTTTCCCCCAGTTGCAACCAACCTAGTACAAATAATTTTGGCCTTGAATTGAAAGCAAGGGATTGAATGAGACAGGTCATCATCACTGTAACAATAGCAAGCCACTTATCTGCAAAGATCATTAATCACCGCAATGCAAAGTACAACTAACCTCTCACACAATGAATCTTAAACACATTTCGAAAATCTTTCACTATCAGTGCACCAACCATCCAACAGAACATGTTTTTTTTGGAGTTAAATTTACCGCTTTAGCATGAATTCTCTATTAGATCATGAATGACACAGACAGTCCATTAGAAGATGCTAAAACAGAAACTGGTGTGTTGTCCTATTGCACCTGACATCACCATTATGTTAAAGACTTTAGCTGTGTTCAATCAGACATTTTCAGATTAATATTTATTGGTCATCTGTATGTCATTGGTGGTTGCACAATGTTATTATCAATGTTCCTTTGAATAAGGAACTGCAGTTATTAAAGTATATCGAACTACTAGCAATGGGATAGTTGATAATTTTAGGGAGGAGGTTATGCAAGGTGGAAAATGAAGTATTGTTTTATATAGTTAACAATTTTTCAAAGTAATTAATTCCAATATTCTAGTAATTTGCAGAAAGACAGAGCATGCAGCATTGGAAATAGCAAAGCTTTAAAACTTTAAGAAGGTGTATTTCCTTTCTTCTCTCTTTATACTTGACTTTCTCACTCAGTCAGTCATCATGAAAATCCTGTCGTGCATTGTTACCCATCCTTTACTGTTTCCATTTATCACTACTTACTAATTCTTGTTCTGTTTTTTAAAGGTCGTTAGACATCGTAGACCTTCCTGCAGCAGATGGGGTGGAGAATTCTCCTGAGAAGCTGCTGTCACTTGCTCTCACTCTTTGAAACACCAGCATACAAATCACTGCCCTATATTCCATAGATACTGAGTTAGAGGGAGTTGCAATGGGTGATTTACTCAGGACCAGTGAGCAGAAGCAAGCACAAATGGAAATAGTAACCCAGGAGCAGATCACTGGAAGATGCACCACAGCCCTGCTGATATGGGCACAGATGCAAAGTTCAGGGATGTAAAGTTTACAAGACCAGATGCTTTCTGTGCACCACCATTTGCCCAATGCCCTTTGGACCCCATGCCAGGGATTTTCTGCAGTACGATGGAAAGCATAGTGAAATGCCATTTTGTATGGGGTACTGTTGCAATGGCATCAAAACTTCAATGAATAAAAAACTTGAGGCTAACCCCATGTATCTGAATATAAGCTTATGGCACCATTACAAACATTTGTATTCTGGGTAGGAACACTGAATGCCTTAATCAAGGACCACTGAAAATTTGGTCAGGTGGATCTCCAATGGTACTTGGGCAACTTCATTCAAAAAAGAAGTCACAATGGTGACGCTGGAAACAAGGTAGCAATGAGAAAAAAATCCAATTTATTTCTGCTTCTTTTTTCCCCTCTCAGCAGCGTGCACTTCTATTTATTTCTCACAACTGGCCTTTAATGAACATTTAAGCAAACATTTTTACTAATGTGTACAAAATGCCTTTTAGTTGACCGAAGACACAAAGTAGAGCTATACATAGGTAACTCTTGGAATTGATTTCAAGTTGGTAGCATGGACACTGAATGCAAGTCTGTAAGCTCTTTATCTCAGTGACTGCTACAGCACAGCTCTCCACCATTCCTCTTACTGCTAGCCCTCTTCCCAACTTGCAATTGGTTTTGTGCCTGGAGCAAACTTTGCGCCACAAGATATAGACAAAAAATTTTGACATTAGCAATCATTTTCTGCTCATTCTGCAGCTGATCAGGCATTTCCAAAGATTCACGTCACGAAGGAACAGAAATAGTGTTACATAGAACTAGGCACTCAAAATGACAGCGAGACGAACTTGGTGATGGAGGGAAGAAGAGAGTGCCAATGCCCATTTGAAAGTGGAAATGTATCTGAATTGAGGGAAAACAAGTTAGAGTGAAAGAATGCATTTGTTAACTTGGTTAGGGAAGGTTAGCTGGAAGACAGTAGCTCCATGAATAAAGTAATCTGTTGAAAATCTTTAGTACCAAGGATCATTCTTTTCTCTCTGACATTATTCAATTAAAAATTTATGAATTAGGAAATGAAAAATGTACCTAAACTAACTGGATGCAGACGTTTTGTTATCGTCAAGCTTTACCTGATGGGCGCAGGAGTCGGAGGGGATAACATGTAAAAACAGCATGCACAATTCTCATTTCTTTTGCCCATATCCTTGATATTAGACTAGCACCCCTTTCCATTATTACCTTTTACACTAAACTTCACATTGAGACGATTTTTTGTCTCAGCAAGAGAAATTATAGAACAAATAGATGCGAATTATGTTCACAGAAGCTATATCGTTGTTCTATAATGCCACATTGTTATGCAGGTTCAATATTTTTGTGGGTTTCATGAATTTCACACCGTATCTAACTTTAAATGAGGGTGCTCCATGCTGGAGTCCCGTGATACTGCAAACGCCTTCTGGGAATAATGTGATTTATGTCTTGTATTAAAAAAACTGTTTTGAAATAAATATGAAACAGTAGCACATGTATTATTCCACACATCTGTCTACAGAAATCTTACCCCCCCACCACCCCCCACAATATGTGGAGAGAAGTATAAAGCCAGCACTAAATCTATATCATTTTTGAATTTAAGATTGCTTCTTTTGACTCCTTTTTAAGTCCATCTTGAAATTGATAACTGTATATCACTCAATCTGTGTGCCATTGTTTGCCCTCAAGCTCCATAATATGCAAACTGTATTTTGTGAAACAAAAGCCATGGGAATCCAAATGATAACTACAGAATTTGACAAGCTTTTATCAAACCTGTTTACATTTCAATCCAGTATGGTTAAAGTAATTCATGATAAATTTGCAACATTTGAACGAACATTGGTCCAAAACTTTTGTTTTTGCTTTGACTCTCAAACAAAATACACGTCATACTTTGGAAATCTATTCCTGCTTTAAGCTGACATAAATTACTTCACGTCTGAAAACCACTGACAATAGTAGTCCATGTCTAAAGTATTCTTCAAATATGCACAAAACTCTAATGTCAGCTTTGCCTCATAAAATAAACTTTGTAAAAAACAATCTCATTTAAGAAGAGAGTTCTGAGGAAATGTAATGATCTTTAAAGCTGAACGCCTCTAAACTTGAACAATTGATTACACAGCACAAGCACACAGACATAGACACATGCATATAGTAAAGCAACACCCCCACCACCCCCACCCCCCACCCCCAACCCCCGCCCCCCCAACAACCCACTCCGCCATGGGCTATCTCCACTATGGTCCCGTCTTTATCTTGCTACCATAACTCAACAAAGCCACTACAGCCAGACAGTTTTGAATTTCAGCTGGGACCCAAGCGACCTGTTAATGAAACGGCATAAGGGTAAAACTCACAGTGTTGAGTTATGCCTGGTGTTGCAAGCGGACTTGGAGTCAAAATGCTTCAAGCGTTAACGTAATTGCAAGAATGTGAAAAATGAAGCATCAGGCTCCTGAGCAAAGCAGAAGGTCAAACCCGAGCCTCTCACAAACCAGCTCTGTGGAAGGTGGCCTCATTTCACCATTTAATCAGCCTCACTCTCTGTTGTCTCCATATTTTTTTAACCTATTAAAAAAACTGCAATTAACTTGAAAAAAAATACACTCTGTCTTCGAAAAGTGACATTCACTAGCTTTCCATGTTAAAATATGATCAGTGGCATCTATGCAAAACACTGCACTCAGCCCAGAAGACAGTCAATAAGTGCTCAGCAGATTGCAGGTCACTTGAACTTATGCATGTAAAATAATCAATACTTTTCAAAGATTAGGTTTTCAGGATTTTCAGAAATGGCAGAGAAAACAAATGTATAGCAACCATCAATACGAACAAGACAGGATTTTTTTTTGTCCCAGCTTTCAACCTGAATTCAATTAAAACTATATATGTACTTCATAACAGTGGCACAACGGTAGTTTTAACATCGCAATGATATTACTCTAATACCACAATAATATGTGTAACAAATTACAGTCAATACTCAGAAAAATAGCAAGTGAGTCTGCTCTGAAATATTGCTAAACATCACAAAATTTATAATGCTGTGACTTTGGGTCTTCTGAAAATATTGGGTTTACTTATAACTCAGAAAACAAATCATTCATATTAAAAGTCTGTAATACCACTTGTTATTTAATCAATTACTTCTGCATTCATATTAACTACTGTAAAACTTTCTTCATGCAATTTCTACCCATTCGCTTTTTTTAAAAAAAAATTATGTTTTCACTGACAGCTTTTCGTGATTACACACCCACCCTCTGATACTGATGTTTACTTTATGACGCATGCTGCTTGATCAGGGCAAGGTGGGGTTTGTTTAGTCATGCTGATTTTTGAGTTGAAGAGAATTAACCTCTTACCTTGCTCACTGCTGTTGTCCCCACTTTGGGAAGCATGGCCCCCGCTGGAGGGTCCTGGTGTACCAGCCGAGTGCGTTGATGTTGCGTCATCATGGTCCCTGTTCCAAGATGATGGATTCTATTATGAAGATTAAGCCCAAAGGATTTTGTTTTTGTTCCAGTTAGCATTCCCAAACCGAGTGAAGAGCACAGAAAACAAAAGAAATGAAATAAATTAACAACACAAAACTTTAGGGAAGCTGATAATTTCCAAATGTTATTTGCTTTCTCAATGTCTTCTTAGACGCTCAGCAAAAAATGTTTAAACAATACTGAAAAGAGTCCTGCGCTGAAGCTTAGGTCTAGTCTTTGGAAGAAACTGCTTCAAATGACAATCTTTTGTTATGAAAATTAACCACACATTACACAGTGCTGCTGCGTTAAAAGGCATGAGTGGTTTGGATCTATAGTGAAGGTACGTACACACTTACTTTTCCTTGCTTCACTGCAGTATACTTTACTCATTTGAGAAAGGAAGTTATAAAGTTTTTTGTCAAATGGATAAATGTTCAAGACCGAAAGTTACAGCTCATTGCTGCAATGCAGAATGTATTCTCCTCCTGGTTCCCCTCCCCTTTCCTGATGGTTCCCAATACCCTGCCATTACTTAAAGGAAAACAGGATTTCTACTGTACAGGAAAGGCTTTATCAGCACCACATGAAGGCAGGGAAGAGATGGAATTTCCTCTCACAGAGCAAAAAAAAGAGAAGGGGCACGTGAAAGAGATCAGCCTTTGGGCTAGTTTTGTAATATTTGACACTTGCACACTCTCTTTGCTGGCAAACAGATAGTTTGGCTTGTGAGGTACCCCAGTGTGCAGAACCATGTTAGCTATTAACAAAATTGCATTGGAAAATTATAACAAACCTGCAATAAAAATCCCAATTAAAAAGCCAGTTTCAACATTTTAGAAACATGCGAATGACACTATTACAGTATTAAGAGCATCAAACCAAGTACAGCACAAGGAGTCTCATCCCTACAAAATAACAGCTTTACCATTGTGCAATCAACTGAAGAAATATAAACCAGATGAACTTGCAGAGGATAACTATAGACAAGATGCAGAACACCTCCACCGCAACAACAAATTCGTACAGACTTTAAAATTAAACCAGAGCCACCGTGGAATTCAAAGATGCAGCAACCTCTGTCTGGGTTCTGAGTTGGTGTCTACGAGTGTCCCTTTTTATCTCTAAGCAAGGAAACCACTCAAATAGCTTCAAGCTGAAGACAAACAGTAGGCAGAGGCTCTTCAGCCCACTGCAGCCTCTTAGCGTCAGCTGTTTGCCGGATGGCAATCAGATAAAGAGCTAAAAGAATTAAATGAAAAAGACGAGAAACAATAGCTCTGCATGAATTTTGTCCAGGAACAACACAGAGCTAGAACCTTCCTATAGAAACAAGATAAATGCAACACGTTCGTGTAAATGATTGTTTGAAGGACATGCAAAGTGTGGTTAAATTTATGCACTACAAGCTCTTTTAAGTTGTCCATTACTATCGCTCATTACTGCAGGTACAAAAATTATACTCATTACTCAGTAACATCTTCTTTGTTTCATGGCAAATGTCAGCAAAAGCCTATCAGAATTTTTTGTCATTAAGATTGTTCTTTTTCTCCTTGATTAGGTTACTGGATGCAAATGGAAGAAAAAGAGTTCTAATTCCTCTTATAATTGTAAATACACATTTCAGAATAGATAACTCCATACATCAGTTCCAGCTGCAGTCTTCTCATCGATAAGCATCCCACTCCCTTTTGCTACTGTACATGGTAGTAATAGTTGCCTTGGTACTATGCACAAGATACAATCTTAAGGTGTATAGTTCACATGTAGTAATTCCCTGCATTAACAAATAGCAGATAAAAATGGCGCTCCCAACTCATTCCTAATTGAGTTAAAAAGCAGAGTTAAAGAGCGAAAGGATTGCTGAATAGTGAGTGCAGTACAATAATAGCAGCACAAAAATAGATACAAGAAGCTAGGTCTCCAGGGGCAGTATTTTCTATTTGCTGGTCTACAGACTCACAGCTGATAATGCAAGTTGTAATTAATATAAAAGCAGGAGACAATATGGGCAAAGCTTGTATGAGCTGGGCCACAGGAGAACACTTTGCCACTATACAGTCTCTCTCATTTACACACACTATCTTCCATAGCAAACACAACATTGTCACTGTTTTTTTTCAAAACCAAAAATTGATTTTGCACTGTCACTGAATTCTACTGAAACTAGATCAGGGGAAAAGATCCAGAGAAAGAAATAGGGCAGAAGTGAGAATGCGAGGGAGGGCAGAAATATTTGTGACAGAGAAAGGGAGATGGGGACAAAGTCTCAACCATACTAAATACAAACTCTTCTGTTGGGACTTTTGTCAACATAGAACATCTATCTCAGTGAGAAGCATAATGACTTGTACCTGCTGCACTTTCATGAAGAAAACAATTTCTGTCAACACATGATGTGTCAATTTTTCTAACTGGATAGAATCAGACTCATCAACATTTTATCAGACTGTGTTACCTTTGCTGCAGTATTGAGTCTATCCAATATATCTTTACTTTCTAAGACAACTACAGTATAACCAGGAATTCTGTCTGACAAAAAGAAGTACATATTTGGTATTTGATATGAATTTTGGAAAACACACTTTTTTATCAAATGATTGCACAATTCAAAGTAATAGACTGTATGAGAAAATTATTAATCTCATATTTAACTGTACCTTGTAAGTTTTTTTTATATTCTATATAAAACATCAAGTGACTAATTTTACTTACTGCTAGCAATTCTTCCAAAGTACATCGATATCAAAATGTAAAATAAATGTAATTAGTTCCTAATCCATAAAGCAGAACTAGTGCATTGTATTTTCCATTAAATGTTTGACTGTAGAGCAACAGTAGATATATAGAAACTAACAAAAGAAAAACACACCTGACTTTAAATAATTTTCAATATCATTTAAGTTATCAAAATATACATCACACTTATTAGTGATTTGTCATAAATTATTTTATGTTTTGTATATGTAACAGTAATCTTCCACTAATAAAATATTGGTAGCATGCTACTACAGCACAATCACATATGTCATATATTTCAAAGCTTGTAAGTATTAGCTTCGTGACAATTGCATTTAAAATGCAATACCTCTGCAACACTTAATAAACTCATTAATAATGCTAAGAGAAGTTAAAAGTGAACTTGGGTATGCACAATATATTAGAAAGAATGATTATCCAGCAATGACTTGAAGACAATAATTCAATCTTGGGTTTCTCCTAATACTCATAGGCTGCTCAAGCTTTGCTCTGGCGTTGTGTGATAGAATTACTGCCTTATATTGCCACATCAGCCATGTATTATTCTGCCTTTATTTTATGGGGAGGAGGGGAGAAATAGGTTGAACACTTATTAGTAAATAAAAATCCTTTCTTCTCAGCTGCTTTCATTATCTAAAATATGATCAAATAGTGACAAAAATCAACAGTGTTTGAAATTCTAAACTACTAATCTATATTCCTTTACAAATTGTTCAACTGCTTTATCCCAATTTAACCAACTATCACTTCTAACAGTTCAGGAGCAAAGCGGATAAAATTTTTGATTTAAACAATATGTAGAATAAATATCAACAATTTCTTTGCGTTAATACTTTACTTCTGCATTTCATAGTAACACAGGTTTAAAAAAGTAAAAATGTAACAATGATTGTGATCTAACTTTTAGCATTATGAATTTTTAAAAAATCATAAAATTATTACCCTTTTTGTTATATCTTTTATATCATAATTCATGCCCTAATAAAGGATAAAATGAAGATTTTTTGAGAAATAGGTACATCCCACAGCTGTATGCAGCAATGGTCTCAAAGACAGGCAGCTGCCCCTCCTAAAGTGCTTTATTTCCTGACTACTAAATACTTTTTGCCTTCAACTCTTGAAAACAAACGTGTTTTACTACCTTACTCAAAACTGAACTCAACCTGATGATTTGGACTTTGTGGCCATGGAATATTTAAAATTCATTATTACAAATTGTATTTTGGGACTATTCATTCCACTGCATTACATTCATTATGAAGTATTTGATATTAGCATACTTTAACAGGGTCAGTAATTGAAATACAGATACAAAATTATTTATTTGCATCTGTCTTTTACATTTCATAACAAGTAACACTATCTGTGACTGTGTAATCAACTTTCCTATACAGATGATTGATTAGGTGTCTACTATTTACCAGTATTATGTTAATATGTACTCATGAGGTGAACAGTGTGGAACTCATGATTAGGCTAGGCAGAGGAAACTATTACTTTCACAATTAAATAGCCCAGGGAAAAACCATTTGCTTCTCTTCTGTGTACAGCATGAAGCAGAAACTATGGCTTAAGCATAGTCTAAACTGAACTCCCAATACTTAAAGCTAGAGCTAGCTCTAATTCCAACCCAATGCAGGCTACTGCTGCCATAGGACTCTAATAGCTAAAGCAACATGGTTTCCGTAAACGTGGCTCCACAACTGTTTTTCTTCCATTCTGTCATTTCACAAGTGACCAAACAGCCAGGCAAGTTTGCTATTTCTATCTCTACCAATGGTATTTGTCAAGAGTGTAAGTAACTTGGGAAGAATATGTGCTGGCGAACTTTCAAAGGAATGCTGCCATGCAACAGATGATTCCATGCAAAACAAATTAAATGTGTCAACATATGTATGATCATCATATATCAAACAGAGATTTCCGTCAACATTTCAGTGTTTAAGAAATTCTCTTATAATAACAATTAGCAATTTCACCAGAGGGATGAATTATAATGTTACTGATTTTTCAAAACTCTTTACTTATCATGGAAAGCAAATTTCTCATTTTTATATAAAGATTTCATGCCATTTGGGTATGCACATACAAGGTGAAAATGAATTGCAGTTTGTCTACCTATTTCCTTTGCTTTGATAAATTATCCAAGTTGGATGAAGATTTATAATTGCATCCATAGGTAGACGTTGTAGTTCTAAGAATAATTGAGTAGTAATTTTATTTTGTAATTCTTCAGTTCTAAAATAT